AAGATACTCATGTAATGGTACAAGATCCCAATGATGAATGTAACTGTATTTTATACCTAAAATGTACCAATAAAGTTAATGGGGAAAAAAAAAAATTCAGGCTTTGTGATTCTAGAAAGGCAATGCAGTGCATTTAGCAAATACCAAGTAGCACTCAGAAATCAAATTTGGTAATAGTATTGCAGAAAACATATGAATACTCAAACGGATAAATATGTATTCTAGAATCGCATATGGATTTAGCTTATGTTTTATCAACAACAGAGTATGCCAAAAGCCTACAAAAAATTTGTTTTCAGAGCTTTTTACATTTGAAAATTTTCCAGGAAGAATTCCAGACATTTAAAAATGGCTCAAACGCTAGAGAAAATATCAGCTCATGAGTAATCAAATGCATATAAATTAAAACAATTGTGGTACCAATTCTTGCCTAACAAATTAGCAAGCATGTTTTTCAAAAAGAACAACACTGAGTGTGAAAAGTGAGTCTGACAGACCACTGCAGTAAGAACATAAACTGGGCCAGCCTGTGGATCAACAATGGAGTCATCAATGGGCCTCAAAAATGTGAATATCATTGAACCCCAAACTGATTTTTCAGGAATTCATTTTCTGTGGAGTCCTCCAATATTTAACTTAGACAAAGCTTATGCACAAAGGTGTTCACTGAAACAACCATCTTTAAACTCACTTAGAAACTTCAGTGACAACTGAAACTTCCTAAAAGGATATAAAATGAGGTTGAAAAAAAACCAAAAAACAGTGATCCTGTACAAGGAACATTATGCAGCCATTTTCTGAGTGTATGAGGGAATGGCGAACACTTCACACATAAGGTTAGCAGGCCAAGATGCACTAAGATTGTACTGCATTGTGATCCTGTCCAAGCCAAAGGTACATGTCAAGAAGACCAGAATGACAGACTAACAACAGCAAGTGATCAGAGTAATGGAACCAAAGGTGATTCTCTTTCCCTTTCCTCATAAACTTTAAATACCTGGGGGGAGAAAAAATTCCAAAAATTCTTAGTATTTCAGCTGAGTGGGAATGAATGGGAAAAGGCTTTTTCATGGAACTATTGGACAGCAGCAAGCTCATGAATCTGAGGTATCTATTCTGGGCTTTTAGAAAATGAAAATGAACCTACCTTTGCAAAGCCACCACCTCCAGAACTGGAGGGGGAAAAAAAGCCTTAAAGAACATGTAGCCTATATTTATTAGATTTTTAACTAATTTATTTTTTACTAGTTGTTGACTAGTTTAACTGATATTATAATATATATCAAGCCTAAGGGACACTCTGGGAAAGCAATATAGTAAAAAATAAAAATTTAAAAAACGATATACAGGCCCAGGGATTCGGCTCAGTGGTTCCGCCGCCTGCCTCACAAGCGCAAGGTCCCGAGTTCGATCCCCAGGACAAAAAAATTATTCAATGCAAATCACCATATAAACAGGATAAAGAAAGAATATGATCATATTAAGTGCAAAAAAAAAAAAAAAAAAAGATATACAGAATAAAATAAAGAGATCACAGCTCATTTGATCCTCACTGGCAGCCAGGAAGACAGAAGTTGGCATGATGCCACGTCACAGGTGAGGAAATGGAGGCAAGGTCTCCTTTAACTTTTGACTTCAAGTCTAGGACTCTGATTAAAGCATAGTGCTCTTTCCACTATATCATGTCACCACCCTGTTACTTCTGAGTATTTACAAATACCTTAGAATAAAACGAATTTTCTTACTCACAAGAAACAAAAGAATGGGCTTTGTATTGAACAAATCTAAATCAATGTCAGAACACAGCTTACACAGCTGGGTGACTTCTTCAACTTCTCAGAGACTCGATTTCTTTATCTGTAAACACAGGAATAAAATTATACAGCCCACAGGATGTTTTAAGAATTAACTGGGATAAGTATTTTGACCAGTGCCTGCCACATAACAAGTAATAATAAGTGAATTTCTTCTTACAAAAAGAATAAAGTTGCTACAACATATTAACCCCAAATTCAAATTTTGTCCTTGTAAGCCACACCAGATTCATTATTCTACTGGCTTTCAGCAGCCCACCAAATCTTTACCAATTACTGAAGTACATGCTTTAAAATAGTAAGACTCACTTAAGATGACAGTTTTAACCAATGAAAACTCCGATCATTCTGTCAATTTTTAATCATTTACTTCTGTTGGCTTAATATGTAATTAGGCTTCTACATCACAGCCAAACAACTCTTTAAAAAGTAATGATGAAATTTTTGTTTCTAGCACTTGGAACCAAGATCACTCTCATTCAAATCCAACTACTTCAAACTCCCCAAATAATTTGCTTGATTCATTTCTTGGTATGTGTGGAGGGGGGACAAAGGAGAGGAAATGATGGGCACTTTTCAAATTTTTCATTTCCTCTTTAACTTAAATTTGAGCACGGAATCCCAAACTCCAAGGGGTGCTTTTCAAATCAGTCCATCCTCTGGATTATGGGGATATACAGCTGGGCAGCTACCTGGCCAAAGGAGAATGAAGAATTTAACAAAACTTATCGTTAGCATCTAAATGAAGAATCAGGAGGCTGGATGGAAACCCACAGAACCCAAGGATTATATACTTCTCATCTCATCAGCACCTGGACCATTTCCATCCTTCCCTGTCTGGTAGAGAAACTAATAAGCTCAAAGGTTGACTAACCAGAGAACTAAGAACATAAATAAGCCAACACGTGGAAAATCATCCCTTGCAGTGCTTGTGGTATATAGTTTTGAATGCTGCTGCTAAGAAACAGAAGTTTGAGACTCTTCCACTAGGAAGGAAGTAAGAGACTCTGCCACTACTCACTGTAGAGCTGTACGTCCTTTTTCACAACTTCTAACTAACCACACACTTATAATTTTATGATATCTTAAACTGTCTTAGAATCTGAGCTACACTGCCAAGGTTAATTTATGTTCAGTTTTCTCTGAGCATCAGTAGGGTACAGTGGAAAAAGAATGAACTTTAGAATCAAGCAGGCTGTTATCACAAATAAACATAAAGATACACACATACCTCTCCTAATGATTCTGCTGACTGATAGAATACTTATGTGATGGTGGGCCTCGGCTGCCCCACTGAAAATCAATACTTCACAGGGTTATGAGGGTAAAGTTTTTTAAAATGAAAATCAATACTTCATAGGGTTATGAGGGTAAAGTTTTTTAAAAATATATAAAGTGCCTAACCCAAAGTCCGGCATGCAGCACGCTCTCAACATCACTTCCTATCTCTTCCTACTTTTCATCTGACTCCAAGGAGATCAGATGTTGACTATTAAGGCACACTAACAAGTTTATACTTTGTGTCCTTTTTAGATACCTCATTCTTCTTAAGTATTAACTTTCATTTAAAAAAAGGTTACTGTGCAATTAGACAAGAGTTCTCTTCAATCACAGTATGTCCTAAGACCTGAATGTTGCTCAGAGATCCAGGGAAACACAAACCTGCTCTAGGGCTGAATTCTCCTGCTGATGGCTGATTATACACACCATGTGCTAAATTTGTTAACAATTTTACTCTCAAACTCTTCTTCCTAAATTCTGGAGCAATTCATTCTAACCCTGTAAGCACAGTCTACAATCTCAAGTCCAATGTGAACCTACTTATATACCTATATGCCCACTGAAACACAGAATGAAAATCAAAATTTCTCATTCAATAAAACATGTCAATTATTGCCTCTTCCCCAGCATGGATGGTTGAAGGAAATATGGGTCTGCTGATACAGGCTCAGGAGACATATTATCCAGTCTGTTCCTTCCTAACCCTTTCTGGTTCCTAAAAAAAAAAGGCAAAAGCCACATTAACAAGCCAGTGGGGAGCTGGAGATTTAGCTCAGTGGTTCCAGTGCCTGCCTCGCAAGTGCAAGGTCCCCAGTTTAATCCCCGGTACCAAAAAAAAAACAAGCCAGTTGAAAAGATGTAAGTGACTGGAATGTTCTCAGGAGGGAAGAGCAGCATGTGCATCTCTATGGAGGAGACAGTCATTGTTGGAAGCTTTCCAGTTGCTTATTATTTGGACCTAAGGCAAGCTTGGAAAGGCCTGCTGACGTAAGAGTCCAGGCTGTTGTAACCCCAAATGGCCAAGACGAATTAAGTTTATTTTTTTAAAAACTTGCTATGAGGAAGAAGAGGAGGAAGAACAGTAAGGAATCTGTAGTGTCTGCAGTTATAAAAACAAGAGTGTGAGACAGGACTTGTAAGAGCTACACCTCCTCCAGAGAGATTTCAGTTAAAAACTCCTGCTCACAGTTCATCATGGTTGGGTACAAGAAGACTTCAGCATCTCTGCTGGTAGTTTCCTGCCCTGACCACAAATTTCTTTTGTGATGACAGGAACCGACACAGAGAAGAAAAATCAAGTATAAGTTTACAAATGTGCCTTCTCTTTTTCCAAGCCGAATGCATCCAGAAAACAAGGGATGGGAAGAAATCTGGAATCCCTGACCTGTTGCACGAATCCATCAACCACTAAAATAAATGAAAACTTGGAAAGATAATGGAACTCTTCGAGGTTCTAAGGCTTTTCTTAAGGGGGGAGGGGTTGAAGTAGGGAGGAACACGAGGACAGAGCACCCAGTCCCGTGTCACGGTCTTCCGCTCTCTGGGACTTTGAGGACAAGGGCGGCAGGAAAGGGGTTCCCGGGGTGAGAAGAGCACGGCTCTGTAGAAATCGCACCTGCGGAAGGCGACACCAGGCACGGTTCCTACTCCCTGAAGGGCTCAGAGTTGGGGCGGTACAGGTCCTCAGCAGAGGCCTGAGAAAGGAAAGGCGGGAAGGGAGGGCCGACAGCCGCTGCCATGCGCCGTGCCCTGCTCGGCCACCCCAGACAGCTAGAGGTTCGGCGCCGGGGTCCCGCGGCTGTGCCGCAACTCGACAGTTCGGGGCGCAGCGGGGACCCCACTGAGCACCTGGTGCTCCGGCCCCGACTCGGCACTCACCCGAGGCCGCCAGCGGCGAACTCATGGCGCGTCCCACGAAGGCGGCAGCGGCGAGGACTGCAGACCCCCAGGCCCCTTGCGAAGCCATCGCCTGGTCCCTTCGCCCTACTTGCCCGGGGCGCAGCGTCCCGCGCTGAGGCCAGCAGAGCCGCGAGCAGGCGGGCGAATCAAGTGGCTGGGCTGGATCCCGAGCGCCTCAACCCCGCCCCGCCGTGGCTCCACCCGGGCCCCACCCACCTCGGCTCTGCCCCGCCCCTTCCCGCCACGCCTTGGGACCGGCCGGCAAGGCCACGCCCACCTCAGTCCGGCCCCACCTCTCCCTGGCTTTCCCGCTTCATCTCCAAACACCGAAGCCCCGCGGGTTAGGCGACCGCCCCATTCCTCCTGCCCCGCCCATCTCTGTCCGACCCCGCCTCTTCTCTTGCCCTTGGCTCCGCCTGCGTGGGGCCGCTCCCTCAAAGTCCCGCCTCCCTCGGCCTGGCCCCGCCTCTCGTGTCTTCTGCTTCCTCTCCAAACGCAGACGCCGCAGGGGCTAGGCGATGGCCCCGCCCCCTTCCCCGCCCACCGAAGCCCGGCCCCGCCTCTTACATCGCCCGCTTCCTTTCCAAGCCCTGCCTGACCTGAAGCTGCCGGCACTTCGCGGGAGCCGCGGGCGGTCGTGGATTTGCTGCGGCTCGTCTGTCTTCCTGGGTTCTGGGGCCGGGCAGATGTGGGAAGAGAAAGAGGGTTTTGTTTTTTCAATGTTGTGCCCGTGTATTGCACCTTGCAAATTCTCCCTTAAAGTAGTCCTTCGAGTTTCCAATCATTCATTATCTCCTTATAACCTCACAGCAGCTCTGTGAGGTATTATCCTATTCCACAGGCCAGGAAATAAAACCACAATGTCTGGGCCACAGTGATCATTGTAATTAGCTCACTGCTGTGTCCTCAGTGCCTGGCTCAAGGACAGCACACGCGAAGAGATTAAAAGTGTTTTGTTTTTTTGTTTTTTGTTTGTTGTTGTTTGTAAAATTAAGTCCAAATTTTAAGGATTTCAAATTAGTACCGGGGATTGAACTCCGGACCTTGTGCTTGTGAGGCAGACGGCGAAACCAATGAGCTAAATCCCTGGCCCTAAAAGTGTTTTTTTGAAGTGGAATCATACAAACATTGATAGGATGGAGTCTCGCCTTTCTCTGAGTGGTTCCTTGTTTACTGCCCCTTAGAGACTCAAAACAGAGCCATCAGACCTGCACTTGAGAACCTTGGGCCTCCCCTGAGCAAAAGCCTAGGAATGTAGAACAGCATTCAGAAGGGCTGGATGGGGGCAGGGGCTTCCTGGGGCTGACTGGTAGCCTCTAGTTTTCAAGGGTGGACTATTACTTTACCCTGTTACTAAGTGCTCCCTGCAGTGTGTTAGATTATTACAAACATTTGCACTGAGCGTTACCAGTGATAGAAGCTCTGGACACTACAGATGGCTGAGGATGGAGGATGGAGCCCTCGCCCTTTGAAGGTAAGAGCAGTCCTTCGGGTCCTCTGCCCAGTTGGCACATCCTGTAGTTGGGCAGGCCTAGCAGGCAGTCCTTCCTACTTTCATATCAACATAAAAACTGACTGTGAATGCAGAGAAGAAAGATCTGTGTGATCCTAACTAAAAAAGGAGAGAGAACTCCAGGCCTAGAAATTAAACTATAAATTATTAATTATAAACAGAACCAGCTACAAAATTTGCAGCGCCCAGTGAAAAATGAAAAAGCAGGACTTTTTATTCAAACATCACTACAAATTTCAGCAGCAGAGCATTAAACCAATTCTCAAGCCCTCTAAACATGGAGAGCTCCTAAACATAGTCACATTCCCATAAAAGTAGCCCTGGTTTTGGAACTGTAACAAAGTGCTTGTATGAGATTGTCTATTCAAAATATAAAATATCACTTGAAAATTGAATAATTTTTACATTGATTGAACTTACTATTTAAAAAGACAAAATAATTTTTAACAACATATTTGAGTTGGATATATGCTTACAACTCCATAGGAATAAAATGCAATCCAGTAGCTATAACTGGAAGAAAACTTTATTAATCATCTCTTAAGTTCTTCCTTTTCCTGATGAGAGATGCTACATTCCAATTTAGGATGAGCCAGGGCTGAAACCTGAAGCTGAAATTTCTCTTCCCAGACTGTCTTACTTTCATATAAACCCATATTCATGTATCTGCACATCTTGTCTAGGAAAGTAAGGGAGAAAGGAAAGGAAGGAGGGAGGAAAGAAGGAAAATCAACATTATATTATTTTCCAGATCCTTGACACTACAACTTTGTAATGTGAAGGAAAAAACCACATATGTATACCTAAAAGCCTACTGTTTTATTTTAAATGTAAAGACTGCAACATAGTAGAAGTTCCCTTCCACATTATGAAGGAAATATCATATTTCTTCTGATGAAATACAGCCAACATTGCACAACTAAGTGATCCTATTTTTAAAGAAACAAGATTAAAAGTAGATATAGTTGTAACAATAGCTCTCACTTATTCATTCCTTAGATTTAGCCCAGTCCTATAGTATTTTTCCTGTGTTCTTTCAACAAATCCTCAAAAAGATGTTATGTTTGAAAAAGTGTTGTTAATGATATTCACTTCAAAGTTGAGGAGACTGAGATTGGAGAGAGTATAGCATTTATTTGAGTCACACAGCTGCTGTCTGGCATTGCCAGGATGCAAATCCAGAATTAGCTCACGCTAGGGCTGAGCTAGCAACCTCCATGTATACTCTTCGGCCTCTGAAATGCAGAAAACTAGTCCATCAGTTCTTCTTTTCCAATAAAAAGCCTCAATCTTCCATCCACATACTAACCAGACCTCATGCTTAGCTTCAGAGACCAAGTGCATTCAAGGGGTTATGTCTGTAGACTGACATCTCGTTCTCCTATTCTGTCATTGCAAGTCTAACCCAGCCTTTTTAAACTCTGTTTTGACAATGACTTTCATGTTTTTTCCTTCAAGGAGAAAAATTTATTTAGTTTAGGAATGGGTTATAAATCAGACTACATAGGCTCAAACTAACAAACTTATACAATGTGCCATCCTTTGTGGATTTTGTTGATTTGTTTTTCCCAGTTTCTCCAAGAATTCAGTTCATCAATTCCCTTAGTAGAAATCTTTCCTGTTTTTCTCTGTAGTACCAAGGTGGTAATTTTCAGCACCATCATTTAAGTCCAAAAGACTCCACTGGCTGGTATTTACTCTAAAACACTGAACAAACTTACACAGAAGGCCGTTACTGAATTTCTTCTTTCTGTGAATTAGATGTAGTCACCTAGTCTTTTGAGAGGTTATATCTAGGGGATAAGCTTACAATTCTTTAAAAAGTATGTCTGCAATGGAATAAAATAGTGTTTTTTTAAATCTAGGGCTATTTTGATCTGAGAACAAAAACCTACTGTGTTCCTAGTAGTACCCTGAAAGTAGCAGGTTAAAGAAAAGAATTACTGCAAGTTTAATAAAGCAATGATAAAATTGCTTATAGAAATTTTAAATGTACTTGGCTGAAAGGAAACAACTGCATAGTATAATAGAAATGGTTAATGGTTGGGATTGGGGGTGTAGCTCACTGGTAGAGAGCCTGGCTAGCCAGAGCAATGGCCTGGGAGAGAAAAAGATAGACAGACAGACAGAGATAGACAGAGACAGAGAGACAGAGACAAAGTTAATGGCCCAGAGTCCAGGGGACAGAGCCCTGCTAATGACTTCCTCACTCTATGGCTCTCAAAGTTTCCATGGGGTTAATCTTCTTACTCATAAAATTCATAGAAGGGAAGGTAAATGGAATAATTTCTAAAGGTTCCTATCCAGCGTTAAGATTCTACACTGTAATGAGTAACCAAATAAAGTAATCCAAAAATCGGGGCTTCTCAACACAGGGGACCTTCTTGGCTAAGTAACTCTGTCATGGAGGGGCATTATGTGCACTCTAGGATAGTGAGTTGTATCCTTTAGTCTTTTTCAACTAAATACCAGTTACACCCTATCCCAGTTGAGACAACCAAAAATATCTCCAGATATTACCAAATGTCTTGGGGGACAGGGTGCAAAATCACTCCTGTTTGAGAACCACTGAGCTAAGGAATTCCAAGAAGGACTGTAATGGGAGGCTCTGACAAAGCTGCACAGAGAAGGTAGAACTTGAGCTGAGGCTTGAAGGAGGTACAGGACTGGGACTGGTGGAGAGATGAGGAAAGTATATGAGTAATGGACAGTGAAAGAATTAGCAAGATGAATAATACACAGTGATGCATGTGTAGCAGGGAGAGAACAGGTATATAACTGGGTCATACCGGAACACAGACAATTGTCATACATTATGATGAATGACTTTCACCAAAATAGATTGGGTGAGGACTATTCCCATTGTTCAGATATTTTCCATCCTAAATCGGGAAGCCTCAAATAAGAAATCCTAATTTTAACATGTTTCATAGAAGTTAGACGAATATGATCTTTAGTAATGGTATCCTTAACCTCTGTCTAGTTCCCCTGATGGCCACGTTGAGTTGTTTCATGGATGCACAGTCCCCTTGCAAATAAGTGACGCAGACTATTTGCTGCCAGAGCCTCAAAGGGTGGGCATAACATTGCTATTGTTGTTCTCAGTAAAGACCAAGAGAATTATGGATCCCTGTGACTTGAGACCATTAAAATCCACAAATGCATTTGTCAGAGGATAAATTCTACAAGGTTCAAGATATTTGTTTTAGACAAGCCTCCTTTGGATTACAGTCAATGTAAACATAAACACTAGTTCAGTGAATAGTAAAGGTGCATATAAAGGTACAGCATTCACAGATATGACCAGGGATAGGCCTCAGGCCCTCAGCCGAGTCCCTTAACTGCTGCTTCCTACCCACTCCCCACTCAGCATGGCCTCCACAGATTGGCTAGGGACTGGTTTCTTTTGACTTAGGAGAATGTAAGGTGGCTAGCCAGGGACTCTGACAAAGACTCTTCACCCTAGAGACAGACATGACCCTCCCACTAACTGATAGGTTCTATATGAGGAAGTATCACTGAAGCCAATAGAATCAAGAGTTTCCTGAAGAAAGAGGTGATTGTCAGTGTCAATATAGTAAACATAGTAGAATAAGAATTGAAAGTTATCCACCAAGCCATGGAGTAGGGAGCTTTGCAGAACATTATTAAGGGGT